GGGGTTTCACCATGTTGCCCAGGGTGGTCTCGAACTCCTGACCTCAGGAGATCCGCCCGCCTCGACCTCCCAAAGTGTTGGGATTACAGGCGTGAGCTACCGCGCCCGACCTAAGCCATCACCTTTTAAGACCAGCATCCCTCGCAATCCCCCAAGTCTCAGCATCTGGTAAGAGAAAGATCCCTTCCACAGAAGCTGAAGGGTGGACCCAATGAATTGGTGTAAGAGGCTCCATGCCACTTCACGAGCGCACTCTTCGCTGAAGTTTATGCGACTGTCCCAGTGGGGACCGAAGCTGTTCAAAACGAAGTGGATTATCCTTCCCCCGCCTAAGTGGGAAGGGGGAGGCTCTGGGTTATCAAGAGCATGAAGTAGGAGAGCCGGGCTGCCCACCCCCATGAGGATTCCAGAGCGGCTGGACGCGCAGCCCTCAGTAGCCAGAGCCCAACAGCTGAGGCCGACACCCCTACCTAGTCCGAGCAGCCCGCGCTCAGCGAGCTCAGGGACCCAGCGGCTAGGCCTTCTGTCCTCCGAGCTTCCCATACAAGTTCCGCCAGGCCAGCGGGAACGAACACCACCCTGCAGTTTTCATGGCTGAGAACCTCACCTCACTGCGCTGCGGCGCAGCTTCTTACCTCGCACGAATCCCCCAGAGCAGTCGAGTTAGCGAGCCAGGAGAGACCGCCCTCCTGCGGCATTGGAGACCGGAAGCACATAGTGCCCGAGAGCGCGTCACTTCCGGCATCACAGGCGGTCTTTAGGAGCGGCTCGTGGGCGTTAAGATTGAGCTGAGTTTGCGGCGCGGTTAGTGATAGGGTGGCGATGCGCAGGGCGCCGACACAAAAAGATGAAGCGTTCAATCCGTGCTGTCTGAACTCACAGTGTAGTAGGCGAGATAGACGGGAGGATCGGTAGGGTGGGAGATGCTGGAGAGGCTTCCGTGAGACTGGATAAGAAAACAAAAATCTGGTGAAATTGGCGGCAAGGAGGGAGTTAAGGACATTCCAGGCAGAGGCAAGGTAAAGGCGCGGTGGGAGTGGGTCACTGTGATAAAAGTCTGAAAAGGACATTTTGGGGTTGTCTTGGGTGAGAGGCAGTGCCTCATGTCCCCCTTCAGTGCTCGTTGAGCATTAAAATGTTAACACTTGGTAGCCAAACAAATTCTCTTTTTAAGAGGAAAACCCTAGAATCCTAAACGGCTCATTTTCTTTAGCGTGTTTCCAAATGCATACCACCACCAGCTGTGCCTAGTGAAAAAATGCGATTTACCAGGACCACTACTCTCAACAGTTTGCTCAATTCATTTAGCCTTTTGAATATTTGTCCACTTATCTTTATTGGCACCTCCTGCCTCGTCCCATGTTGTACCTGTGGTTCTGCAGCTGCTCTGGGGATTCATTCTGCCCCAGCTCCCTCAAATCCATTTTCCGTGCCGTAGGAACGGAACTTTTGAAAATGTAAGTCGTATTACTGCTGTACTGCTTTAAACTCTGCCATCGCTTCCCATTGTTTTTAGGATGAAACTCAAACTCCTTGTGAAGTCCCTGCCTACTTCCCTAGCCTCACCTTGCACAATCTCTCCTTTGAGCACCGTGCATAGGATCTTTCTTCAATTTCTCAAATGCCGTGTGTACCTTGCCGTCTCCAGGCCTTTACATTTGCTGTTCTCTTTGTATGGTACTCCTTTTCTTCTTCCAGTTACTTTCTACTCACCCTTCAAGGCTTTAAATATTTTATTCTCAAGAAAGCCTTCCAACCCCCTACTACCCCCATACAGGACTGTGCTCATGGCAGTCTATGCTTTCTTATGACACTTTTCACATTTGTAATTACATAATAATTGTGTAAGTTTATTGTATCCTCATTGCCTGGTACATCGTTGGTGCTCGCTTCGTATTTGGTTTTTTGTTTTGTTTTTTGCGAAGGAGTTTGGCTCTTGTCGCCCAGGCTGGAGTGCAATGGTGCGATCTCAGCTCACTGCAACCTCTGCCTCCCGGATTCAAGCGATTCTTCTGCCTCAGCCTCCCAAGTAGCTGAGATTACAGGTGCCCGCCACCACGCCCGGCTAGTTTTTGCATTTTTAGTAGAGACGGGATATCGCCATGCTAGCCAGGTTGGTCTCAAACTCCTGATCTCAGGTGATCCGCCCGCCTTGGCCTCCCAAAGTACTGGGATTACAAGCGTGAGCCACTGCGCCTGGCCCTCGTATTTATTAAGTAAATGAAGAATAAGTACTTTGCGATGTTTGTTTAAAGCAAGCTAGAAAGTAGCCCAGTTTTCTTTTAGAGAAGGGATTTTAAAGTCAGTGCTGTAGGAATGTTGAGATTTCGTATGGTACATATCACAAATATCCTAGGTCATATGGTGGAGAAAATTTTCAAAGACAATAAACAACAGCACCTTCCAGCTCTTGAAGAGAGGGAACTTCCTAAAAGACATGTGGTAGTGCTTCCCATACTGTAATGATCTCAACCAGCTGGCTTCAGGGTAGTGACATTTCATGAAGAGGTTTTATCTTTTGTAGATGCCAGGTACTTGCACAAAACATACCACTAGAGGGCGCATTTAACTAAAATTTTCTTTTTATTGGTATATTGCGTTTTAAACTGTAGGTCGTTCATTCTTGGAAGTAAAGGAACAGTCCGATTTCTTTTTGTAGCGGTATGTCCAATAAAGATTTGTAGTTGAGTAAATAGGGCATAGAATAAGTCCTTTGAAATTTGGAGGAAACTATTGCTACTAATAGCTAACTTTACTGAACATTTTATAGGTGTGTGCAGTGTGCTTAATGGTTTGCATTTATTACCTAATTAGTCCGCTCATTATCCTGTGAGGTTGGTGCTATTATTTCTCCATTTTGCAATGAGGGAAGAAGTTCACGGAGCTGACCTAACTTATCCAAGCTCACACAGCTAATAAGAGGTAGAGCCAGGATTTGAACCAAGATCTCAGTCTAAACCTGTGTGCTCTGCTAATTTGAAATACTGCAGAGGATTGTTTGTCTACTTGATCCACTTTAAAACACTTTACTAAGTTATCCTGACCCATGTTCGATTTTTTTTTTTAAGAAAATATTTTACAGTTCAAGGGATTATGTTTGTATTCAATTTTCCCATCTTATTGAAATACTGTAAATGTATTTTTTTATAACAATATTATCAGCAAGGTAAATGTTAAATGAGGAATTCTGGTCTTCTTCCTAATTTTTCTACTGCTGTTTCATTTCCAGTCCTCAAATTGCTGATCTATGTATTATGTTTTATTGCTTCATTCACTGGGAGAGACAGTGGAGTGTGCTTATTCCGTATTACCAGGAATTGGAACCACTACCATTAGAATTTTAAATCTTCATTCTTGCCCAGATTCTCTCTGGATAATAGGCACTTGGCCAGCCTAAATGAAGTGACCAGTAGGCGATGAGGACTAGAAGTGTCCAAGGCCCAGTCTGGGTGGGCCATCCCTCTAGCTGACTCACATATTAGAGTGAACAGCCTTCAGGCAGCCAATTTACCTATAGAGCAATTTGGAATGGAGAACAGTGGATCTGGAAAGGAAGGCTGGGATGAGATTTTGCCAAATTAGTGTTTTTAAATGTGAAATTACTGTGTTCAAACTTTGTCCATTAGAGCTTAAGCAATGAAGAACCGTGGATAGTGTTTTAGATCATACAGGAGATCCCATAAAATAGATCTGGAAAAGAGGGTTGTGTATGGAAAACTGTACCTAATGCATTCTCTGGGCAGTTATTGAATTGTTTATAGTATGCAGAAAAATACAGCAGAAGAGAGAGGGAAAAAATTAATGACCCTGCTGTTGGAAATAAAAATAAGATCCAGACCAGTGACATTCTGACATCTTAAAAACCTGTCAGTGATATTTTTAACTGCTTTAGGATCCTTACAATAAGGCTCAGAGTAATAGAATTGTGAGGGTTTTTTTCTTTATACATAATTTTACAGATGTTCTTTAATGGGTGTGTATTACATTTAGAATCATTATTAGAGTTTAATCCATGGAGGTTTTGACACAGCACATGAGAATTTCTAATTATAGATTCATAAAAATACGTACCTTTTAAAACCCTATCTTCTTGTTTTACAGATCAATAAATTCAGTTTCAGAGAAGTTAAGTGATTGCCATAGAACACAACGCTAGTGACTGAATTTTGTTAACTAACTTGCACATAGAAATGGCTCTGTGCTTTCATTTGCATTGTTGGTTTTCTCAGTAACAAAGTTACAAGCAATACTGCTTTATTTCAGAAGTGAAAGAAAAACTATTGGAAGTGTGGAGCAGGAGAAACCTATTAGTGGAAGTTGCTTGAGGTTCCTAGGCAGTAAGGAATAGGAATAATATAAAGTTTGTGTTGTCCTCTGAAAAAAACTTGAATCTCTTTCATATTCTTTGCGTAAACATGGCAAAGAATAGCGTTGGAACACTAATCACAGAAATGATGTATCCTTCTGACTCATCTTACCTAGTTTTCTGTTGCATTTCTCAAATTTGAGTTCCTAATCATGTGTTTCAGTGGTTAGGATGTTAAGTGCTTCAAATGAATACTTAAATCTAAATTACAAACAAGTGGCAAGATTTGCAAGCTCTCCTTTATTCTCTGAAATGAGTACTTCTTCCTCCTCATGTCTGAGGAAGTCATACCAGATATGGGCCTTAGACTGTCCATTCCAAGGAACAATGAGAGGTCGTATAGTTACAAATGGAATTCTGTAAAATAGGATAGGTGAGGAAAAAGCCCTTTTTAATATCTACTATGTGCCAGTACCTTAAGTGCTAGATATATGCAAATGACAGGTCCCTACCCTTAAGCAGCCAAGAGCCTGTGAGAGTAAGACAGATTAAAACCACTAATAAACTGATGTTATAAATAGTGAGGGAATTATGGTGGTATACAGATTGCAGATAAAAGAATTCTTCCTGGGAAGTTTTAGAAAAACTTCACAGTAGGATGTGTTGCAGACAACTGGAGAGAGGGATCACGGAGGTGATGAGGAGGAGTCAGTAAAAAATAAATACATGTACTCAATCTAAAATCCTCTCCAATAAGCTGAAATGCTTTTGCAGATAAGACTGACACACACTGACATACACACAAAAAAGAGATAAAAATTTATGCTAGTACTTTATAAAAGGTCAAAGTGAACATAGTATTTCATACTGATTTAGTAACTACTATATAAAATAATCTACCAGTAATTCTGGGTAGAAACAGTACGGTAATTAATGATTTCAGATGAACTAATTTAAGAGGACCACATACAAGGAAAAACATAACCTGCCCAAAACTATGGCATAGCAAATAAATGATCTTAGGAAACGAGGTCCCACAAATATTTAAGAAACATTTATGGACCAAGAAAATGTAGAAAGTCATATTTGTATATATTCTGGAAGATGTGAGAGTCCAATGGTGAGCTGTATGAAGATGAATTGGACACAGTTCATACTCCCAGAGGAATCTAGTAAAGAAGACAAACAGGGCCAGGTGTGGTGGCTCACTCCTTTAATCCCAGCACTTTGGGAGGACGAGGCGGGTGGATCACCTGAGGTCAGGAGTTCAAGACCAGCCTGACCAACATGGTGAAACCTCGTCTCTAGTAAAAATCCAAAGGAAAAAAAAAATTAGCCAAGCGTGGTGGCGGGCACCTGTAGTCCCAGCT